GACCTTGGAGACGGGGGCAAGGAAAAACTGCCTTTTAACGGGCAGAAACCTCGGACAGACCCTTCGGCTCTAGGTGGGTGGTCGTCTGTCTCAACCAGTTGGGGGGGGGTCCACTTTTATGAAGTGGAAGCTTTAATGTCAAATGACACTAGGGCTGCAACTATTTTCTATCTACTAATTATTTTCATTATCAATTAGTTTGTGGATGGATCGATTAGCTAATTGTTTCATAAAATGGTGACCATTGTTTCCCACTGGTTAAGTTAACGATGTCACTCCTGTGTTATATGTGTAGATATGTGTATATTGTCTGTATATGTGTACTATGTGTAGTTTGTGTGTAGATTCATGTCGAGGTGGCTCTCTCGGCGTACACATGTATATGTACCAAATTTCCGTTCCACTCGAGGACAATAAGAATTGAATGCTGAATTCTGAATCTGGTGATGTCCTCAAAAAATTATCCAGAGAAAACCATTAATAGATTATCAGAATAGTTGACAACTAATCCATTAATGGACTGATGGTTGCGGCTGTTATGATAACGGTGAATATTCCACCAGCTCACCCTCCAGGTCCTCTCTGGGGATCAGCTGGATGGGGATGAACAGTGAGGCAACCTCCACCACCAGTTTGGTGTAGGGCAGCCCCCTCCAGCCCCTTAGGGTGTCTGGGCTGAGCACGGGCACGCCCTCCGGCATGAACATCCCCCCGTCTGGAGCATAACCTGAAAACAGGACATCCCGGAAGTCCCATCCACGGACCCCACCCCGAGTGCTGCAGTACTGCATCGCTCTAACCTGCGAATGGAGACCAAAGTAAATATTCTGTGTTATGGTAACAGTGCTCTATTTTCCCTCAGCTTGCATTTCCCATAATGCATTTTAAACAAACCTCAGGTTAAGCACATGCACGAAACTGTTGGACTGTATTTTAATAATTACTGTAATCCAAGATCTGACTATCTGAAATGAAGTTTTAAACTAACTTGCTGTGTATAAATCCTGGCGCTGGCGCACAGTGCCACCCTCTATGTGGAAAGTAACATTTACTGTCTGTACATGTACAATGTGTGATTCATAAAGTTCTTAATGTGCATGAATGTAGAACTTGAGTTCTGTGGTATTGTAGATAGCTAGTGAATGAACAATCAACGGTTAAATATCACTTCAGTGGAGCCCATGACTTACGATAGCTATCATATCTGCTCAGTCAACACCGACTGTACATTCTCCATTATACTCCCACACTGAGCATGCACACTACTTACCACTCTGTAGTAAAATGGATTAACACAGCTCTTCAGTTGCTTTCAGAGAAGCTACTTCACACACACTTACTGACGGCTTGGCCCCAGTTTATGATGCTATGCTCTCTACACTGAGAGGGACAGACCTACTCTATAGATCTCTGTCCTGAGGAAGATAAATGTTGAACTTTGGAACAACCTACCTGAGGAACTACTTACTTATTATATTAAACAGGATTACTTAAACTTGTGTGCCCATGATTGACATATTCCTGATTCTCTCATCCATAAGCTCTATTTTCTCAATCTACAGACAATGCAAATAACACTTAAATATGTTTTTCTTTATGGATAATCAAAAGATAGCTTTTTGTTCAGATTATTTAAATCATGTTAGAGCTTTAATGAACATATTGTTTTGAGTATTATGCATATGAATAACAGTGCTTTTAACTAATTGCTGCAAATAAATCCAGGTCTCTGTCCAGTGCAACCACTGTCATTACAGGTCTTATAATGATGATACTGTAATAGATTACACAAATAGATTGTAGGCTTCAGTAAAGTACCCTAACGGCTCCAGGCTGCTCGGTTCACCAGAGATAACCACAGTGAACTGGTTGTACAGTGGTGGGAGAGTGATTCACATTCTTTTAGTAAAACTAGTTTGCACTTTTATTTCTGTGGGACACGACCCTTCCGTTATAGCGCCATTACGTAACGTCAGCTAGCTAGTTGAGCCACCACTGTAATATGCTGATTCAGATAATGTAGAACTCACACACCTCCTCCTGTGAACCGTTAGTTCTCTGAAAAGGCTAAATGAGCTTGTGTTTGTGATGAGAGGGCGTTAGAAAGCGGCCTATGGTATCACTTCATGTTTTTATCGAGCTGTTTGGGGTTCGACAGCTTAGTTTACCTCAGATGATGCGTGGCAGGGGACGCTGCACTAACGCGTCTTCCCATTGGCTCAAGAGGCTGTGGGTGGGACTTGGGCTGCATTCGTCAAAACCATTCACAGTATATACAACACAACAAATAATACATACACTGTTTGATGCACATAAGCTTTTGATGCACACATTATATTAAATGAACAAACAAGAGAGGCCTTGCAATACTACAACAACTACTGTATATTATTCTATACAGGTTTTTCAACTGCAATTTTCTGGGAACCCTTAGGGAACGTTCCCTAAAGGTTCCTCTTAAGCTTTCACAAAAAACAACCCTCAGGGTACCTTCAGTGTACCTTTTAGGGAGCGTTCCCTGCAAAACGTACCAACTGACAACCTTCAGGAAATGTTCCCTAAAGTTTACAAAAATAACCTTTAAAGAACGTTCCAACGTTCAGGGAACCTTAAGGGGACGTTCCTTGAAGGGTACCATTTGCTGGGTTCACACTGTAAAAAACTTACATTGGCCAGCAATAATAGTGACCACTAAGGTGACCATATGTGGAAACAACCAGTATGTAACTATTAGTAGTGGCAGTAGACCTTTCATGTGGCAGACAAAGCGGATACAGAACAGGTGCAACTAATAACACGAACTAAAGATGATTCCACTCCAGTCAAGCTCCTCATTAAGCCATGTCACTACATCAACATTCAGCACACACAAAACCAGGGCCTAGTGAGCAGTTATTAATGTGAGTTACACCTGTGGTTTTCTTATAAAGGCATGCTAAAATGTCTGCTGTGAAAAATGTGACATTAAAATCAGCTAACACATTCTGAGTGGTCACCCAAGTGGAGCAACTTATTGCCCTGAGCAGGAAAAGTACAGGTACAACTAATTACATTAGGGTTCAGTTCCATTTAGATGTCCCAGTAAATTCACTCCTGTGAGACAGACACAAGGGCAAAGTGTAACAACAACTAAATGTGTTTTTTTTGGGCATTTTCTTTCCAGAAAGAAGATGTTATAGAAGCAAAATAGTCCAAATGAAATTGTGCTCTCAAAAAACTGTTTTTACCTGTAGTGTCTTATCTTAATTCAAGCTATCCTGGAACAGCATGTTTCAACGGGCATTTTATACAGGAATTTATTTCTGGTCGGTAACAATTGGCTTAGTTACACCACTTCACAGAGACAGATGTTTGATTTATACCATCATTCATTTTAATGCACATCTGCAAACATGTAAAAACATATATACAAGTCTTAACACTGGAGACATTACAAAAATGTGCTTACAAAATTGGAACCATGCAAATAACTGACATAAGACATAAAGAGTATACTGAACATCACCCCCCCCAACACACACACACACACACACACACACACTCCCACACATACAAAGCCATCAGGATAGAAATAAATACACATTAAAAAGAAGAGCATGTGGATGCTATAAATTAGTCCCTCAAAAAAACAATTCACCCCCACACATTTGCACGAGATAAAGATCCTTTCAGGTGCAAAATGTCTTGTTTTGGGTTTAGGATGCTTGTTCTTCTGCTCTTTCTTACCAAACAGAATAATCTGGACATTTAGAAGTGGTTGAATATAAATGTCGAGCCAGTACACTTGGAAAGGTTTATGTTTAGGACTGCTTTTTCTCAGGCGATGTCAAGTAAGAGAAAACTGCACAGAGCAGGGAAATGTCTTATTTGTAGTAGTAAGGGCTTTATTGTATTCAAATCTCCAATCCTCTCTTACAGACACTGGGTCTGTCTCACTGCAGTTTAAGAGGGCGGGGCAACACACACCTAGGGGTCATTCAAGGCAGGTCAAGTTCAGAAAACAAAATCATTTTATATAGTTATGGAGTTGTTTGCATTGGTTTTAGGACTGGACTCATAGTTGAGTGTTTTATCCAAAATAAGCAACTATGTGAACTCCAAATACCTCAGTGATATTAACTCTATTAACTTATTATAACAGAATAATAGATTTCTTACTCCTTTACTTGTTTCAAAAAGGCAGCTATAATGAGTTCTTTTTAATAAAAAAAAAAAAAACTACAATGCTCAGCTGTTTTATGAAATCACTAAGGCTTTTAAAAGAATTCAGTTATATATTTGCGAGAATTTTGCACTAGGGACCAATAAGCAGACAGGATAAAGAAGTCAGAAACACATTATTGGCTTTGGTCTTTTTTGGAATTAGTTGGCAATAAGAAAAATAGACTTATTCTTTAATTTTCCATTAAAATAACAGCTTTCTTTGTGTTATTTGTTTATTAAGCTCAGGTTTTGATGGTGAAATTTGGGTACAAAATCCAAAAGGGTGAGGAGCTGAATATTAACATGGCATGGTATATTATTTGCTGACCCCTCAGAGTCTCTTGGATGATTTACAAGGACGGGTGGATAAAATCTCATTTCTTTTTTACATAATAAAACTGACACAGATTGACTGGTTTTAGATTCAAAAGCAAATAGTGATTCAATTTATTTAACAGCTTAGAACAAATGACTCAAATACCATGAAGGAGAATGAATGATGGCTCATTTTTGCAACATACCAATTCTGATCTGGTATGAGAGGTTTAGAAATTGTTTAACTTGACACAATTCAGAAGAATATCCTTTCCAGTTCTCAGTTCACAGATAAATGTGTCCTTGAGTAGCTTAACACATTTTAAAAAGGACTATCATTTCATACAGTTACTAAAAGTAAACAGAGCTTCCACACACACAACCCTCTGCAATATTAAAGACTACATTTCAATAGTGTGTTTTAACTACGATGGTCAAGTAAGATTTGATTTGATCTTCGGTAGCAGAAAAAACTGAGTTTTAATGCCCTGCCCGATTTCTAAGAAGTGTCTATAAAAACATTTAAAAAATTATACATCAGAGAAATACTGCCGTTGCCATGGAAATTGTGTCTGTTACCATTTTGGGCAAGTATCTGAAGGGTCATATTTGACACAATGACACTGAAGGGTGAATTCCCAAAGAACAGATTGAGGCCGCTGATTGCAGCATGAATTAGGCATCACTTGCAACCGCTCTCTGCCCCGTCTCAAGGTCCGATTCATAAAAGATATACTAAAATTTTAGTTTCATCCTTCCCAAAATTAACGCGGAGAAGTGTTTCATCACTATCTGAGTGCCTTCATATGAGTATGCATTAAATTATTCAACATATTCTGAGCTTTAAAACAGAAATGACTTCTTGTCCCCCACTAATTAACAATATTAACATGTTACAAGCTATTGACTGGATATTACGGCAGTGGTACATTTAGGCTTGCAGATACACATTTACATTCAAATGAATCTACCTGCTGCACAGATCATATGGTATGTGCACAACACAGTATAAAATAATAAATGATAGGAATCAACACTCTCTGTGAAGCTGTGCTGTAGTTTGCACTGAACATTAAAAAGGCTTAACCAAAGGTTAATCTACACCATTAAGCCTGGGCTAGCTTAGTTTTTAACTCCAAGTTAACAAGGGCTTTATTTCCTTAAAAACCAATCAATTGCAGGCCTGCATCAAGTGTGAAATGGGATTTGAGTTTAAAACCACTGCAATAGTCATGCTACTTCAGCTTGCTTGTCACTCCACTCTTAAGCTATTGCTAGGCAGGCTAACAGATAAAAGGGAAAAGAATAAAAAGTGGGAAGAGGTTTAATGCTAATCCTCAAGTTATGAAGCTTTTAACACTTTACGTTAATGCTTACTTTCTTTTCATTTATGTTCCATCAAATTCTGCTGGCTAACAGTAAAATAAGCAAGAAGATAGTTTACCGCTATAACAGCTGAACCCAAGAGCTTCAAAATTTTTATTTTTTCCCTCAGTCGTGTGTATTTTCTTTGACAAATTTACATGAATTTTTATTACGTACAAAGTCATGCTAGCTGTTTAACTGACATAATGCTAACTAGCTGTTAGTAGCTGATGTGATGCTAATCATTTGGAGTCAGCATAATGCTAATAAATATTAATTATGCTCTGAGTCATGATATACAGTATTAATTAATGGAAGTTGTGTTGACACAACACAAGGACCTGGGTGCTCTTGAGGTGTTGAACTTTTTCATAACGCACATCATAACGTACACTTATTAGAAATAAAAGTGTTTAGCCTCTGTTTGGTGTGTTGTATTTTGACAGTAGCAGACGGCAAACAAAATGAGCTAACTTTGGCTTTTTCCAATCCCAGTAAAATCAATCAATCTAACATTGTATTCATTACCTCCCCATTAATGTCATTTCTGTGGTAGCAACATCTTTGTCAGCCACAAAACACTTTCCTTCTCCACTAAATGGAAGAACCACTAGCTGCGGACTGGCTACCTAATCTCTAAATTTTGTTAGTGACCAAAATGTAAAACAGTGTTGAAAACTGTCAGTCATTGAATGTCTGTTCAGAATGGTAACCTTTCTTACCATGCATTATCTGAAATAACGCACACCCCCTCAGTCACAGTGAATGACTCACTGTGGTATAAAGTGCTGTATGGAACTGCTATAGAGATACATGTAGACCCAGGCTGAAGAAAAAGCTCAGCAAATAATGTTCAGTGTGAAAAGCAGCACAATGTCCTCTGATGGTTGTTGTCCTTCTTGCAGTGTTTTGTCTGGTCAAAGTAATATGACTTTATAAAGTAAACAAGAGACATAATGCACATGGAATAAGGATTTTCAGAAGCTCACTAATACAATATTCAATAGGCAAGGCCCATCACTTCATATTTATTTTAGCCAGACAGCAAATATACCCAGAAATACTGTCTCCTGTTTCACATCATTAAACAGATAAGGCATACATGTTTCTTACATTAAAAATGTTCAACTTCTAAAAAAAAACCCATAAAGAATAAACATGCACTATTGCTCAACCCAATTAAAATGTTTGCTCAATCTGACTACATATGTGGTCGCAGTGGGATTCTTATTAAATTCTTAGCTCTACATTGCAAAAACATTTCTGGTATGTTTTCATGACAAACTAAGATTGGTAGTGTAGGACTTATGTGGCTCCCTCTCCCTCAGATGTTCAGCGCAAACACAATTATCTGAGCACAACAAGTCTCCATGGGAGAGATGGCTGTGAGAGGAGCCTTTTCCCATAATGCATCGAGGAGCAAGTGGCATCTCCTCCTCACTTCCAGGAAGGAATAGTTTCAGCGTGTCCTCAAAGGTTTTCATGGCAGTCCCCACTGACCAAACATCGGACATTGAGTTAAAAAAAAGCAGTACGCTGGAGTTTTCCCCTAACAAATGTGTCCAGGCTCTTCATTCATCCAGTCCTCCCATGATACATGTTTGACATGACAATGTTTTTCAAATGTTTAAACCCCCACCTACCACATGTGAGCAGGGAGGGCAGGAGGAAAAGAGGGAACAGGTTAGGAGTTATCCCGCAGCTCTTTGGCCTTGATCAGGATGGTGTGGACATCTGAGATTGGGTAATCCTGTAAGATACAGAAAAAAACACATACTGTGTGAGTTATTATTGGTAAGGACATCAAACGTACTACTTGTATGTCTAATAGGTATGGGACGATATGAAAATGTCATATTACATTTATCCTGTCCAAAGTACCTAACATTCTGTTAAGAAATTAATATTTGTATTGCGTCTCAAGACAGGACACCTCATCTCTGTCGTTCATTAGTTTGGAATCTACATTATTTACTCGAGCTGGGACAATATGCTTATCTCCAGATTCAACAAGATCACGATATTAGGGTGCTAATTTGATACCTATTGTGATTCGATTTTACAATTTATTGAAATATCGGTTTTCTTTTTAACATTAGACCATGGGAGAAAGTTTAATAATACATTTTTGAAGACTGCACATCGTGAGTCATATTTCCAAAAACAATGCACATCACATGTCGGTCAGTCTTATACAAGAGTTTTATACAAGCAGCATCATTCCTATACTGCATATAAATGTGGTGAAATAAAATACTTAGTCAAGTGCTATATTTAGCAACTATTCTAAAAGCTAGTGCCATTACAATAATAAAGTCCAGGTGAAATGGAAAATGTAACTTCAAACCTTTAAGACTGCAGTTATATTGTACCTCTATTTAAAAATGAATGCCAAAACAACATTTCTATCAAAACCTGATCATTTTGTCTTTCTGTAAATGTGACGTGTGCTTATGTCAGCATGACCAAACCAATTTCAACCCCATTGTTTCCCCCACCCATAGAATTTGCACACATCCAGTTCAACTTTTTTTTGTGGGGGATATAACGGGCAAGCCTTCAAGCAAGGTGATGAGCTTAGGACTTTGGAATGAATGGAATGGAAAGATGCAAGCTCCCCTTGTGGCAATTCAAAAATGAATCAGGTTATCAATATAGGACTGTATGTTAGCAAGGTAGACAGCTTTTTCAAGTCCCTCATGTGAGGATATACAGTATTATCCCAATAATGGAAACAATAAACTGATAATATCATATATCATCTCCTCCCTAATGTCTAAATATGAAGCTTTGGGGTTCTTCAGTGTTTCCCTGTGTATTATTAAAAGCCTTACCTGCAGTAATCTCATATTCACCGTGAAGTCTCCTGCCAGCAAGTTATCTCGGATGAGTCTGTGGACAGAAGAAGTCGACAGAGACAGTGAATCACACGAAGAGTCAGAGCTGTGGGAGATGAATGCTGTGAGAGAACAGGGAGCTCACATGAGCATGGCACAGCAGACCAGGATGAGGAAGTGGAATCGGTCCTGGTCAGAAAACAGAGTGTCCCAGATACGGATGACGTCTGGCAAGAGGAACTCCTGCGATAACAACAAGGTCAGCCAGCGGAATGTGAAGTACTGGGGTTTGATGTTTTGCTCCTCCTGTGTGGACAGAAGAAAGGAAAACCTGAGGAAATGTTTTAAGAAATATGTGATCTTCAGATTGTCTTTCTTTCTGCTATGACAGTCAGTAACAATTGAAATGGATCAAATAGGTTGTTGGTTCGATCCCCGGCTCCTCCCCACCACATGTCAAAGTGTCCTTGAGCAAGATTACTGAACCCCAAAATGCTCTGATGCTGCTGCAATCGGTGTTGTAATGTGTATGAATGAGTTAGATTCTGTTTGATTGGACTTTGCCACACTGAGTGAATGTGCTGTGAAAGGGTGAATGTGGCATGTAGTGTAAAAGCACTGTGAGTGTCAGAAGACTAGAAAGGTGCTATACAAGCACAGGTCCATTACCATTACCATCATTATACAATATTAATTTCATTTTTTCTTTCCATGTATCACCACACAGAATCTACTCATGGACGAGAGCCTCTTGCTAGGCTTGTGCAAGCTTTTTTCAGCTCGGCTGAGCTGTAACGTTAGCT